GTGCTATAACACAGTGGTGGAAACCCTGATGCATAAACAACACTACGCTTTACCATTAGTGTCCACAAGTGCTGCGAATGCTGGAAAAAATAAGATATGATGTATAAAAATCTGAGCCCTTAATTTGAAACTTCCTTAGTCCTTAATTTCTGCAGATTAAAAAAAACTTTTTATTTTCCACATCTGTGACACATTGGCCATCAAACTCTGGAACTTAGAATAACAGGACCAGTTTGGATAGATTTTTATTTATTTTTTACCATTGTAAGCAATTAAAAACACAAAATGCCATGCATCATTGAGTATGAGCAGAAAATGGCACAAAAGAGCATCTATGACATGTTATGAGCAGGAATGTGCAGGCCCCGGAGTGAAGGATACCAYCTAATATACACAAACAGAAAACAACTAAGAACCATCCTGTTTTTTTTTTCTTTTTCTACCCAAATGAACGTCCGCAGAGTCAGCTTACTGCAGTGTCATTTGATCCAGAGAGGCTAAAGATGCAGTTCGAGTCGAGGTGACTGCGTGTGTGAGCGCTTCTACATGGAACAGTAGGTGTATTGTCATGGTGAGAGGGCCAGATTATACTATCAGCAAAGGAATTCAGATTATTTACCAGAGCTGTTCTGTCTCATGTGGGAGGTGTTTGGAGGCGAGGGGGGAGAAGAATAAATGAAAAGAGTGACATTTACAAGAAATGAGCTGAGGTTTGGAAGAAGATATATTGATTGGTTGATATTCCCCTAAAACAAGTGTCAAACTGAAGGTCTGTGYGCAAAATGTGGCCCACACTCTAATAAAAATCGACAGCATTTCTGGTTGTTACCTGGAAGGCTCCTCTGGGTAACTAACAAGAAAATTTGCAGATTTTGATTAGAGCTTTACTCGCTACATAGATTTAGTTTTTCTCCAATATGCTAAATGGAAGTTATATTTTTGTTTTGTTGGCATTAATAATTGCCTTTTTGTTTGCACTAATGACTTTATTAAACAAATGTGTGTAGTATTAATCAATAGGGAAATTTACTTTAACATTTTTTATTGTTATATTGTTGTATAC